AACTACCATTCATATCTGAAACTGACTCCTTACAGGGCTTTATTTGGGCAAGACCCTCCTGCCATCATCAGAGGAGATGCAACACTTACTGTTGTAGAAGAAGTGTCCAGATTAACAGCCCAAAGGAATATTATGTTGGAGGAATTGAAGAAGAACCTAGAGATTGCTCAGAACCAGATGAAACAACAAGCTGACAAACATAGAAGAGAGGTAAAATTGAACATTGGGGATCAGGTCTATTTGAAAATTCAGCCTTATAAACTCAGAAGTTTGGCAAAAAGAATAAACCAAAAGTTGAGCCCTAGGTTCTATGGACCTTATGAGATTATTGACAAGATAGGCCCAGTAGCATTCAAGTTAAAGCTGCCAGAAGACAGTAAAGTTCACCCGGTTTTTCATGTTTCCCTACTGAAGAAGGTGCTATCACCAAACACATCCTACCAGCCTTTACCTATGTGTTTGGGTGAAGGCCTTGAATTGCAGGTAACACCAGAGATGATAATGGACTCCAGAGTGAGTAAAGAGCGCAACATTGAGGTGCTGATACACTGGAAGGGGCTACCAAGTTTTGAAGATTCTTGGGAATTAGTATCAGTGTTGAGAGAGCAATTTCCAGAGTTTCACCTTGAGGACAAGGTGAATTTTCAGGGGGGAAGTAATGATAGACATACAGCTCAGCAGCCCACTCAGTATTTTAATAAAGTGTATAAAAGGAGGAGCCGGAAGATAGTTAGTTAATTAGCTAAGTAACTATTAAATGTTACTTTATCCCTGCGTGGATAATTTTACTATAAATAGAATAATAGAAGCTATTGTCAGTAGGTTGTTATTTGGTTGTGAACTTGGCTTTTGGAGATTGGACATCTCGAATAGTCCCTGAACACTGTATCCCCGTGAGCTGTTCAGTTGGAGAATAAATCATTCGATCTGATCTTCTACTTTGTCATTGAATTCTTACTTTCCTGCTTGAAAGTATCTGTGATCTAACAGAGAGTTACTTTTTGCATGGCCAAATTATCAAAACAATCCTGTCAAGATGTTAATGAGTGCCTTTTCTTAGATGCCATTGATCCACCTGTAGAGGAGGGGAGGAAACCCCCACCTCTTAAAGAGACTAATTTTGACCCATTCTTTGATAAAGGGCCTGATAAAGGCCTAGACTCATTCTTGTGCTTTACAAGTGGCCCTGAGATGCGTAATTGTTTTCATGAATTTAAGGTCTTACGCCATCTCAGGGCATTTGTTGATAAGAGGTTTGATTTATGGAAGACTAATTTTCTGAGCGGGGGTGTCTTTGACTGAGTTTTTGATGAGGTGGTTGCGTCGGGCAAACGACGTTAAAAATAGCGCTTCTTGGGAGGCAACACAAGCTTATTTTTGCACTTTTGTTTTTGCATGTTTCTTTGTTTTCTGTTTTTGTGTTTTTGTGTTTGTTTTGCAGCTCAGGGTCTTGCTTTGGGGATGATGTGCCAAGGATCACTTGACTCAGTTTAGTTCTGCACCGACCAGCGCCTTAGGGAAGTTTCTGCGACTCTTATAATCGCCTATTTGTAATGTTGACTTGAGTCGAGATTGAGCACGCGTGACCCGTTTCTCTTTACCCCTTGTGCATAGTGCATTTTTGGTCATCGAGAGCGATGCCAAAGTTTAAGTGTGGGGGAGTGAATTGGGCATTCGGGCAGTAGTTGTCACATGGGATTACTAGAGTTAGCATGCGCAGATGTTAGTTGTATATTCATAGAAAAGTCATGTCAAATTTTTTGAAAATTTTTCCTTAAACTGTGTCTTTGTGAGCTGGCTAGGTTGTTGACTATGCTTTTAGAACATCTTTGAATTATTTAGGCTTAAATTGCTTGCACTATAACCTAGTTTTTGAGGATGAAGGCATTAGTCACCCATTGAATCGTTTCACAAATCATCCACCTGGCCTGAATAAGTCCTGTAGGAGAAGCCATTTTGAGCCTGACCGTTTATTCTTTACCCAATTAATTGAGCTTCATAGCCCAAATGGCCTGTGTTTCCTTACCTGTGAATATTTCTGACAAAGTCTTGGTGTTTAGGGAACTAGGGGATTAATTTGCTAAGTTTAGGGAATTTTTGTAGGAGCCACCGTTGGCACTGTTCCTATGCCCCAGGTGGGGTAAGAGCAGTCACTTTTTAGGAATTTGAACCTTAATTGCTAATTTTCCTTGGTGAGGCCGAGATTAGAATGGGGTAATGTCTAATTAAATCTGAAAATTGAAAAAAAATTAATTGAATAGATATACCTATTACCTTGCGAAAAAGAGAATGGGAGACCCGGTCAAAAAGCGTTAGTGTTCTGCACAATAAGATGAGACTTGGGGATCTTTCAAAAGAAACGGCGTTCTCGTGCCAACATGACAAGGAAACCTGATCTTAATTAATTGAAGTTGGAGGCTATTGCAAAAATTAGCATTAGTCCTTCGCGTACTTCAAGTATACGTCAAAGCACCAATGTGCAGCGGCAGTTTAGCTTAGTTGTACACCATGTCTACTCTTTGCATAGGTTTAAGTGATAGTTCCTGATTTGTGGTCTACTAAATTCCCTGATCCTAAGAATAGCCCTGAAATTCATGAATGCATTAAGTCTTTGTCAGGTTGTTCCAAAACTCTCAAATAAAGGGATTGATTATTCATTCACCATTCATCACCACCTTCACAAGTCCTTCTAATTAGTAGCTAGTTTATTAGTGTGCGCTGCCATAATTTTGAGGATGTTGTGAATAATTTTGTCATTAATTTTAGCTACAGTACAAAGATGTAGTTTAGGGGAGAATTTTCTTGGTTTTATCTCTCTGTTCTGTGAGTATCCCTGTAACTACCTGTGCATGCTAATTGTTTTAATTTCGTGTGGTGATTATCGTAAGTCCCGTTGTTTAGTTTGCTTGAGGACAAGCAAAGGCTTAAATGTGGGGGGATCTGATAAGTCTGTATTACAACACGCATTTGATGAATTTTGGGATCGGTTTTTTATGTTTTCCCTGACTTTTAGGTGTCACAAATCTCAATTTTAGATCAAGTTATGTGTACCAGGCGTCGGTTCAAGTTTTGTGTTATTTGGAGTCAAAATCAGGAATTTAGAGTCCGGCACCGGCGCTTGAAGAGAAATCGGGACAACTTGAGAAGCATTCGAGAGTGAATTGATAGTTTTGGAGATCACCGGGAGGTTCACCAATGAAGATTCGATGACAAAAGAGCTCTAGGATTGGCTACGGGATCAAAAGAAGACAAATAGAGCTTGAAAACGACGTTCAGGATATCCTTATGTCAATCGTTCAAACATATCTATTTTTAGAAGCATCCAAAGGACACGATTCAAGTTGCATATGAAAGCCAACTTCAATGGATATAAATCATATGAAGACACCATTGCGAGAATCTGAGAGGAAGAAGGTGAAAACAGACGATGAAGTCAGATGATCCCTGTTGCGATTTCAGAATGAGACCTTCCACCATTTTATTCATATCTCTTGATTGGATGATTCAAATCCAATTCGTCAAGTTGTGGTGGATAGAGGACTTCATTAGCTACAACTTTCTTGAATGAAGTTGTGTCAAATTCGAACTAGAGAAGCCGAAAACCTCACTGGCAGCCACGCACGCGTGTGTGTGGGGGGGACGCATGCATGCGTCCAACGTTTTTTACGCGCAAGTCTGTCGGACGCACGGACGCCACGCATGCATGCGTGGGCGCCGTGCGTGCCCTCTGGAGTCCTAATTTCGCCCGAATTGCTCCGTTTTTACTATTTAAACAGACCGTAAACCCCTGTTTTGGGGGGAGGAGACTTAGAGAGAGCTTAAGAACGAATTAAGAGAGCTTTTCAGCCTGATTTCTTCAACTCTTTAAGATTCTTTGTAAGTTTCTACTTTTTGATTAATGACAATTATTTCTATTTTTTCCAATTCTATTGATTCTTCAATTATGAGTCGGGAGTAGTTTTAATTAGGGATTTGGGGTTGATAAAGGGGTTTATCATGATGTATGGCTAGTTTCTTGATGGTTTAATTGCATGAATGTCGTTTAATTTGTGTTTGAACAATTTAACTGATATCTTTTGTAACCCTAGAATAGCCACTAGAATTACAATTGCACATAGAATAAATTAAGAGAGATCTAATTTGTTCTAGGACACATTCACGCACACTTAATCGTTCGTAAGATATTAGTAGCGATTAAGGGGCCGTAAGCTCGTTCGTCTTGGCAATAATTTAGGATCTTGTCACATGAGAGATCAGCCTGGTCCCCTAAATTATTTTACTCTACGCCGCGAGAGAGGTAAGAACTTAGTATTGATTAGCTGGGCTCAATTAAATTAAATTCATGTAATTAGGCCTGATCTGCCAGGAATCTGATTACCCCGGAATCAATCCTTGTTCCCTTCATCGTTAATCAAGAAGAACCCAAATCTTTATTTTTATTCGCTCATTCACATTAGTTTAATTTCCATTCAACGAATCCAATCTCGCACGACGCATTTATTTTATTTATTTTTAATCGCTGAATTTATTTAATTCTTAATTCCCTTTTGTCTGTCCCTGTGGAGACGATACTCGTACTTACAGCACTATTCTACAATCTATTTTAAGTGCGAGAAAACTTACATCACTGACTAATAAAGATGCTTAAGCAGGTTGACATATCTAATAACCATATTTGCCTCTTCCAGATGGAGGATATCGCTTTTTTGTTCCAAGAAATATCTTGCAAGGAGTCAAGGACAAATAAGTTAGTCAACATTAAAAAAGAACCAATAAACTTTAAAATAACCAAATTCAACTTACAGGATTATGATTTTTCCCTTAAGAACCAATGCTCCAACACCGAAGTTTTAACTCTTCAAGACCTTACCAGGCACCAATTTTCATCCAAAAACAGATACGGAGTAAAAACTAAAAGCATATGTGAAAGCACCAAGTAAATTTTAATATTTTAGCATTAACTTAGATAAATGAATCGTAGAATAAAAAACTTCCACTTCAACGCATTTAACCTTAAATAAAACTCAATGTAGATGAAAAAAACAATGTCAAAGTTATGTACAAAAAGTAAAATAAAAAAGGAAGGAAACATGGCAGAAATCACCCTTCCAACAAAAAATTGCTTTATACGCGATACCATCCAATCTCGATCCTTGTTTTTGGCCATGGAAGAGGATATGTTGCATGAGATTGAGGAGGCTTTCGACCTCAAACGGCATTGCAGTTTGAGCTTTTTCAAATATGCGTGTGGTAGGGCGAGGCCACTCGCGATTTCACCGTGTGGTGTAGAGGAGCCACCCGACCACAGCAATTCATATGAAATGCGAACCATTGCATACAGAGCCAATGCTGATCCTGCTTGATCCTCTGAGTCGCGTTTTGAACATGTGGTTGTGGTTTTTATGACATCATCGAGAGCCATAATAATATGTGCTCAAATTCTGCTCTGCAATAACAAGTTTGACATGTATAAGAGCAAAAAGCCAAAAACTACCTGAAAGTTAAACCTTCAGAATAACTGCAAAGGTTCAAGCTCAATTTACTCAAACCAGTCTGTTGAAATAATTAAAAATCTTGATAGAGTAAACAAATACTAAAATCACATAAGCATCCTACATAATGAAGTAAATTATAAATAGAGAACCGGATAGTCAAACGATAGATTAAAATAGAAAAATAAGCTTTCTTTCATGTTGGCCTGCTAGGTATGCTTTGGACAATGAGCAAGTAAAAAACAGTAACACTCTTCAAATCTTTGCACAGTAACAATGAGATTTTTATTTTGTTGATGTCATATGTCTTCTTCAAACTCCACTTATCTACTTTACCGTTCACACCAACACTCTTTAAATTTTTGCACAGTAACTCAGCCCAGCTTAAATAAAATGGCATAGTTCTTGCACTTCTCGGTAAAGGGTAATTCTTTTTATCATTTTCACTTCTCATAACTCAATTTTTTACTTTTTCTTTGGGGATTTAAAAAATCTATTTGTTGTCAATTTACCTTCCCTATTAATCTATGATGAAAAATGGAACTCTGGAATTATTTACGGTAGGACTGGGTTGAGCCGTTAAACTCTACACTTATGGGGGGAAATCCTTTTTTCTAATTGGGGGCATATGTATAAACTAACTTTTTTCCTGCTAGTTTATGTGGCATTACTGGACCTTTATTGGGGGCAGCTGCCCCACTAATGACTATGTAGATCCGCCCCTGAGCTCCGGTGAAAATAAAACATTGACGTTTTACACATGTCACTGCAGACACCATGTGACTATAGAAATGCTTGAATAAAGACATAAAACATGCTTGTAGGAGTAAGCTAAAGAGATCATAAAAAGCTAAATGTACCAGTACATCCTTTCACTATCGGAGCAGTTTACCTTTTGCACCTTTATGTTAGAAGATGTGACTCCTTCAAACATTTACAGGGAAAATATGGTATATATAATCTACCATTAGACATCAGAAGAAGAAATTTTCATTGTAATTATGTCAATTTATTTATCCTTCCTTAAGGGATACTTTAACCTCTGGTATGTGGGAAAGAATCCCTAACTCGATATGCTTACACCTGCCTAAAGTTCCCATTCATTTCTTCTTTAGTCTCATAAGCATCAAGGCATCATGTAGATAAGAAAGTGAAACTTCAACAAACAAAAGCGCTACCTTGAATCAATGCTTCAGTCTCCTTCTCCCTTATTTGTTGTGCATTGTATTGTCTCAAGAAAGGTAAAAGCACCAGCAAGATATACTTAGAGTACTCAACACGCTCGTCTTTGTTGTATTCAACTTTTATACCTTTCAACTCCTAAATGAATGCACGCAGACCTCACACAAAAAATACCTAGTATGATAAGGTCATAACATTTGGGAGCAATATGTAATGTGAGGATTAAAGGAAATGTAATAGGTCCAAATGTCCAATCAAACCCAAAAGATATGTTATCATATTATTTCAACTAAGAATAACGTTTGATTAGAAATACAAATTATTCAAAAATAAAAAACATGAATCAAAATCGAAGTCCCCCAAAAGCAAGGGGTATTTTGAACAGGACATGAAATTGTCTGAACAAAAGCATGATTTTCCTCGCATCTTCCTCAGATAGATTATCATCATTGGATAAGTAATGGGCAATTGAGATAATGTTACGCGTTGGATCAAATTGGACATCATCATTTCCAGGTAATTCCATATTAACAACATTGGCAGCACGAGCAAGATCACATTGAGCATCATTCAGTTCAGCTTTTACTGTCAAAAGGGGATGAGCAACACCATCGTTTACCGCCTTATTACAGGTAGCCACCGGGGGCTCATCCCAGGTTACCATAACATCAGAGTCATGGGCTGCAGAGACGTGAGTCTCTCGAAATTCGTCACTGACAATAATAAGAGTAGCCAGTTCCTTAGCACAATCTGGAAAAGCATTCTCAACAGTAGGGGCAACACTTGTATGGTTACCAGTGACACCATCATCTATATTAATAGGGGCATAAAAAGAAGCATCAACAGGGAAACTTGGGTCTTCATTGGCAGAAATGTCATGAATTGGGTGAGCAACAGGGTCACTGTTTGCTCCATTTGTAACAGGGGCATGAATTGGAGGTGCAACAGGGGCACTGTTTGCACAATCTGTAAGTGGAGTATTACAGGTAACCGGATAAGCAGCTGTTAGTGCATAATCAAATAGGGGAGGGGACTTTCTGTAACAAATATAGGGGCATTAGTTGGAGCATCTACATGGACAGAAACATCTTCATCCGAAACACAATTAACCTCAACCAAATGTAGCATAATTGGTTTTGGTTCCAAATTAATTGAAGTCCTGGGACATTTTGTGTTCAGATGATTCAACCTAGAACAGATTGCAGAAAGCGGGAAAATTTTCATACGTTACAGACTGAACAAATCCTGAAACACCATTATTAATCCAAATTTTATTGAGCAAGTCTTTAGAAACATCAAGGTCAATACATATTCTCACTGTTGTGGGTCTAGAAAACTTGGAAATTAGAGGATAAAACTTGGGCGACGTCTTCAGAGAAAGATACCACTGGGACACAGGTTGCTTGACATGTAGTTCCAGAATGTGAACATCGGAGAATAGGCACGGTTGAGGATGCAGGCGACGGCCGGGGAGGGTTTCCCTTGCCGTCGTTGCGTATGAGGGGCCGATTCGAGCGTTCGCAAGTTGCCACCACTCGAACACTCCAACAGTGACCGAAGGGACAGAGAAGCAACACAAAGATGGTTGGTCAGAGTTTCGACAGTGGCCGTTTTTCAAGTAGGTGAGCGATCAAACAAGGGAAGAAACGGAAGTTTAAAACGTTGGCTTGTAGTAACGAAAAAATGCCCAAACTAACTTCCTTACACAATTTATATATAAGTATATATATATATATAGTTTTTTTGTGAGGATTAAATATTATTGAAGAGTGAACAAATATATTATATGGGCTAATTAAAGAAGATACCAAATGAAAAATGATGAAGGTGATGAATTGACTATAGCAACGTCTTAGGGGCTATAGTCAAACTGTCGAAGGCTGAGCAGCCAATTCAGTGAGTACTCAAAAGTAGGGATGGACCCGGGCCGGGTCCGGTTCCGGGCCCGGGCCGGGGCCGGGCGGGCTTTTTTTGTAGAATCATGGGCCCAGAACCGGCCCGGGGTGATACCGGGTCCGGTCCGGGTCGGGCCTACCCGGCCGGGTTGTGGGCCGGTTCGGGCCGGCCGGGGCCGGGCTATTTAATTTATTTGTTTTCAATTCAGATTAGTTGGGCATAAAAATTTAAACTGTATTAATTTGAAATATGTAGTACAATTGGAAATTGAGCAAAAATTACAACATGAAATACACTTTTTAATAAATAAGAATCAATCAGAATTTCCGCCATCTTCAGTTGTTTCTTCCATAAAGTGGCGGGTGGGTTCAATGCTAATTTCTTGAATTCTACATTTGGCCTTCAACCAATCGTGGAAGCAAACAAGCGTCTCAAGAGAGTTTGCGCTCAATCTCGTTCTATAATCCATTAGGACGTTGCCGGCCGCACTAAACTCTTGTTCCACAGCAACTGTTGATACGGGCATTGCTAGCACTTGCTTAGCTATCTTTGATAAGATCGAGAACGTTCTCTCTTTTTCCTTCCACCACTGAAGAACGTCAAAGTCATCCCCTTCTTCATACTCAACAGGAAATGTTAGATACAAAGAAATCTCGTTGATCGAGCTTTGTTCATTAATCGGAGTTGATTTACTTTTTTTCATAAGATTGCCAAATTCAGATTTCAAAATTGATTTTCCTTTAGATGAAGAAGATGTTCGTGGCGGGGGAGGGGGTGCGTTACCATATTGTGCATGAAACTCATTAAATAATTGATATAATAAATTACTAACCTCTTGAAATTGTTGTTTCAGGTCTATAGCCTTGTCGTCGTACATAGGCAATGGACCAAAAAAGAAGCATAATAGTAATCTAAACATTGCTCCAAAGCAGCAAGTCTAAAACGAGGATCAAGAATAAATGCAATACTATATATATGCGGAATATAGGAATAATATTTTAAAAACTTTTGTTTCATGAAGTCACAAAAATAACTAACGTAAGCGGCATCATCAAATTCACAAAAAGCGTCGGCGAGATTAACAGCTTCAACAAAAAATTGGTTTGCGGTAGGTTTATAAACATGACTAAAAGTTTGAATTGCATTATTAAAATACACCCAAACATTCAAAACTTTTTCACAAGTGTCGATGTCGGCCGGGTTTATAATATAGTTAGCATATTCATTTAAAAAAGCAGGAAAATGGTTTTTAAATCTAATAAGCACCTTAATTAAGTTATAAGTACTATTCCAACGAATAGACAAATCCTTAGGAAAAGCACAATATTTGACACGTCTTTCTTTCAAATAATTTCTCCATTGCATCTTAAGTTGAGAACTAGCCCAAATAAGTTTAATCCCCCCCTTCACCACCTCCATAGCATCTCCCAACGCCGCTAGGCCGTCCTTTACACATAAATTTAAAATATGACATGCACAACGCTGATGAAAAAACCTACCCATCAAAGAAGATGAACCACACAATTCACGCAATCTAGGAATAGCAGCAGTATTATTAGTAGCATTATCAAAACCAATTGCAAACACCTTATTAATCAAATTATACTCAATTAAAATACGGTCAATGAGAATATAAATATTATCACCGGTGTGTCTATCATTAAATTCACGAAAAGCAAGAACATGTTTATGCATACACCAATCATCATCGATATAATGTGCAGTCAAACCCAAATAATATAAATGGTGATGGGTATCCTCCCATATATCACTACATATACTAACACGTCCATCAAAGTTTGCAAAAAACGTTTGTAATTTTTGCTTTTTCAAAACATACTGCCTTATAACTTCTTTTTTAATTGTTTTGCGACTATAGTTTCGAAATTGGGGATTTAAAGAACCTTGAACATATTCTTTTAAAGCAAGACTTTCAGAAAAGATAAAAGGCAAATTTTCTTCAACAATTAAATGAGACATACCAGTCAAATGTCTTTGATCATCATACGAGAAATTACCAAAGGGTTGGCCAGTTGCAAACCTTGAAATTTGTGTTTGCCTTCCCTTGCCTTTGTCCGATTTCACATATTCCGCCGGGTGCTTGGCCTTAAGATGCCTTGTGGCGCTCCCGTACCCTCCAGAAATTCTCAAGTTATACTTTTTGTTGCAATGCTTGCAAGTGGCGTACCATATCTCGGTTTCGAGGTCTTTAACTTTTGTATAATTTGCCTTAAAGACAGATTCAGATTTCCCACCGGCTTGGGAAGAAGTAGCCACTTCCGCTTCCTCTTCCTCATCATCCCGTGTGTCATAAACCTCGTCCTCGACCGTTCGTGGATCCCTCTCCTCCGCATCATCATCCTCAAGCTCTTCTTCGTCAATGGTTTGCGGGATGTCTTGTTGATGAAAAAAACCTCCTTGATTTTGTTGCAATAGTTGTTCTAGTTGCTCATCGAACATCGCATCCACATATCTTTGGTTGTAATCCGCATCAAAATCATCTCGGGTTTGAGATGAAGACCCCGACCCTCCCTTACCTTTGCATGACCTTGGATGATTCCTAGCAATCTCCTTCATTCGATTGCGGCGGAGGTTACCCATATCTACAGAAGCTCTACCACGCTCCATATTAAAAATATAACAAATACTAAATTCGAATAACAATTAAGCAATTAATTTTGAATTAACTAGTTTACCAATTAACTAAAATTCGAACTATTTGTTTTACAATCTAACAACTTTATTTAACAAGTTTAACAATTAACTTGGTTTATAGAGATTAATAAATGTAACAATAAAGGAAGTTCGAAGATGCCCAGATCTGCTTCAGGAAAGTAGGCTCATTGTGGAAAGGAAAGGAATGGTTTTCGGTCATTGTATGCGGGAAAGTAACTGGGTAGCCCACTACCTCGCCGCTTCACATATGGGACGCCTTCCAAAATTCTTTACTGGGCCGAACTCACTGCCTACTAAAGCTAAACGGGCCTACTTTATGGATTTGTTTGGAATTCCTTCGATTAGATTTTAATTTTATCTGTTTTGCTTGGCTGTATGAGAGGTTTTGGTCTAGTCCCCCTCTCTTTATACTCTTGATTAATAAATTTTGGCAATTGACCCCCGGCACTTGCCCCACTGATTTTGGTGGTTTGCCTTCCGGGGTAAAAAATAATAATAATAAATGTAACAATTAACTACTATGATAAGAGATTAATAAATGAACCAATTAACTAGTTTAAGAATTAAACAATTAATTTTGAATTAAGTAGTTCACCAATTAACTAGTTTTTATAGGAGATTAATAAATGTAACAATTAACTACTATGATAAGAGATTAATAAATGTAAGAAACTAACAATTAACTAGTTTTTATAGGAGATTAATAAATGTGACAATTAACTAGTTTAAGAATTAAACAATTAATTTCGAATTAACTAGTTTACCAATTAACTAGTTTTTATAGGAGATTAATAAATGTGACAATTAACTACTATGATAAGAGATTAATAAATGTAACAAACTAACAATTAACTAATTTTATAGGAGATTAATAAATGTAACAATTAACTACTATGATAAGAGATTAATAAATGAACCAATTAACTAGTTTAAGAATTAAACAATTTATTTTGAATTAACTAGTTTACCAATTAACTAGTTTTTATAGGAGATTAATAAATGTAACAATTAACTACTATGATAAGAGATTAATAAATGTAACAATTAACTAATTTAACAATTAAATAATTAATTTCGAATTAACAAAATTCGAACTATTTGTTTTACAATCTAACAACTTTATTTAACAAGTTTAACAATTAACTAGTTTTTATAGAGATTAATAAATGTAACAACTAACTACTATGATAAAAGATTAATAAATGTAACAATTAACTACTATGATAGGAAATTAATAAAGTAACAATTAGATAATAAGTTTATAAGTAGATATGCTTAATATATATATATATATATATATATATATATATATATATATATATATATATATATATATATATATATATATATATATATATATATTATAAGTAGATAATAAGTAGATTAACTAGTAATATATAATATTATGTTTATAGTATATATAATATAAGTATATTACTATAAGATTAGTCATACACTTATATATAATACTTTAATATATATAAGTATATATTAAGTATATCTAAAATGTAAATATAAGTAAATAAATTAGAGATGATTATATATGTAAATATAATATAATATATGTAGTTATAAATTTGAGAAGATTAGTAGAGAATAGAGATTAGAGAGTAGGAATATTTAGAGATGTGTAGTAAATTGTATAGAAAAAATGGAGTATTTATAGTTGTTTTGTACCCCACCCCCACCCCCCACCATCCCCCTAACCCACCCACCCACCCACCCCCCCCTAACCCACCCCGGGACCCCAGGAAGGCTCCCAACGGCTATATAGCCGTTTGGGTTCAATCACAACGGCTCTAAGGCCTGTTTGGATAGCCAGAAGAAAAAAAAAATTAAAGAACTAACCGTTGGCCCGAACCGGGCCCGAACCGGCCGGGCCAGGCCTCCAATTTTCAAAACCGTGCCCGAACCGCTCCCCTCCCCCGGGCCGGGTTAAAGCCCGAACCGCCCTATCCTTAACCGGGCCGGTTCAGGGCCGGGCCGGCCCGGTTTGGTCCATCCCTACTCAAAAGATCTTGAATTAGTCGAAGAACCCAAAACAGGACTAAGATTCCTAGCAATTTCAAGCTGCCAATAAAATATCCTTCAACCCCACGCATGCCTCAAGAATTATATCATAATTACGAATCAACGGAACAAAATGGCCATTGTTTAAGGACTAAAATACAACCTTTCCATATGAGAAATATACATCAATGAACAAGAGAAACCTGAAAAGTTTCTGTTTAACAAAACAGTCCAAAGTCCAAACCACTTGTACGGCAAAGGAATTATTCCCAAATCATCGTGATAGACAAATAAAAATGCAAGTGCCAAATTTTAAGGAAAAATGGGGATTACACAATCTTTGCTCTCTTGCTAATGAAAAGACCAAGAGATGACATGAATTATGAGACATTGAAGACTTATAGTCAGGCAATGTAGTACATGGGATTGGGGAGTTTAAAAGACCGCTTGGCTAATGCGGACCCCATCAAGTCACTCCATTGATCTCCAAAGCTTCCATGGATTCGGTAACCTTCATCCTCTAATCCCTTTCTTTTCTGGGATTTGTAGACAGTGGCTAGAGTACCTTGATCAGAGGACCCCCTGTTTTCATACCAAAACTTCATAATCAATCTTCAAATTTAGAGCCTGTATAGTTTTCAGTCCTTTTTTATGGAATAAGCAGCACTTTTGACTTCCTTCTTATTTGGCTAAAGATGGATCTAACCAAACACTTTCCCTTTTAATAGAATTGAAATCAACAAATCCGGACATTTCAGCCAAATACCCTTACCAAACAGCCTTTATAGTAGTCAGTCCTTTTTATGGAATAAGTAGCACTTTTGACTTCCTTCTTATTTTGCTAAAAATGGATCTAACCAAACACTTTTCCTTTTAACAGAACTGAAATCAACAAATCCGGACATTTCAGCCAAATACCCTTACCAAACAGGCAATATGTATATCGCAACTTTGTTGTAATATATATTCACTTTATAAAAAATGATACCTCAGAATGAGTCTTTCCCAATCGCTATATCCAGCATATTGAAGATTCTTTTCTGTACATTTCCGTTGATATTCACTCCGACCTGTCAACAAGAAAATTTTGAATCCCTGCTTGAGTAAATCTTTGTACAGCCTCAAACATGAAGGTATGGCAGGAGCTTCGGCCAAATTCACCCATTCATTAAAGGAACTTTCATTAAAGATCTCTGTACTGCATTCAACAACAACACAAGGTTATTGCCTCAACTGAGGTATGTGAGAGAGAAGAAATATAGGCACCTTGCACAACCACAACTAGATTTTGACATTAAACCATTAAAAAGAGGACAAGCAAACACAGATGTTATCTACTCTGTATTCTTCTGTTTGCTACACTTTCTTTTTAGGATGTAATTTAATTTTTCCTACACTTTCCCTTTTTGGTAAGTTTTCCTTTTAAAAATGTTAAGTTACTCTTACTTTTTCTACTTTGTATCTTCTCTTTCATACCTTTTCACCTTCTTTCCTACCCTTTCTACTCATTACACCTATTACTTTTCACTTAAACATTATGCCAAACCTTATTGTAGCAAACATTACAATACAGAGGGAGTATGTGTGTGTGTATCACCTCTTAGGCAAACCACCAAAATCAGTGGGGTAAACATTGGGGAACATTTAACAGATTTTATTGAAAGTAGACAAATTAACAAAAGGAGAGAAAGAAATGGGGGGCATGAGGTCATACCCCTTTCCAAAAATAACATTAATGTCTAGCATTTTGAATACCCCATAAATCTAAATTAAGAGCGCCTCTAATAAAAATTAAGCAAATCAGTAACATGAAACCAGATCTGAGGGATACCAACTGGTACATGCACTTATGCTAGTACATGAGAGACATTGTTGGCTTCCCTAAAACGGTGTCTGAAGCTCAATCGACCTAGCTGAGCCATCTTCCGAATCTGGGAGATAACTTCATGGAATCATCCAAGCTGCTGCTTCGAGAAGATCAATTAAATGGAACTGAGAGAGTCAGGTTCAACAACAAAACCAACATAACCAGCGTAGACAGCCCAGCTTACCGCTACAAAGATCGCTTGAAGCTCAACTTCTAAGATGGAAGTAGCTGAAAAGCCCAGCATCCACGTTTAGCATGAGGCATCCCACAGGTTTTTCCCACTGAACTTTCATAACTCTCTCTCTGAATTTCATATAAGAAATAGGGATAAGATGTTCTTGAATAAGTAGCATGTAGGCTTTAATTTCTAGAGAGTTTCATGCATGCTGACCAAAAAACTAGAAACTTTCTGGTTTGGTTGATAACTAAAGATTAAAATGATTAGCCGATCTGAATACTTCTTTCATTGAGTGTTATATTTATAATACAATACAACAACCGATCCTACAAAGAAGGGATAAGATTTACAATAATTAATTACAACTTAATCCTAATCTATAGTAACAACGTGTAACTAATTGACCTATTCTATAGTTATTCGACACTCCCCCTCAAGCACATTTGAATAGACCCTTTTTAAGCACATCTGCCAATTGCTCTTGAGTAGAGAGACATAAGGCATGCAAATTTCTCCACTTTCAAGCTTTTCTTTAATGAAATTTCTGTCAATCTCTATGTGCTTCGTACAGTCATGTTGAACAGGATTGTTTGCTATATTTATAGCAGATTTATTGTCACAGAACAGCTCCATGGGTTGCTCAATTTCCTCTTTAATTTCCTTCAAGATTCTTCTTATCCAAATGAGTTCACAAACACCTGAAGCCATGGCTCTGTATTCTGATTCAGCACTACTGCGTGATACAACATCTTGTTTCTTGCTTCTCCATGTGACAAGGTTACCCCACAGGAAAGTACAATATCCTGAGGTTGATCTTGGGTCATTAATGTTTCCTGCCCAATCAGCATATCAGCATCTGTAAATACTTCTAGTTTCCGGCTCTCATTTTTTTCAAACCAAATACCTTTTCCCGGACTTCCCTTTAGGTAATGTAATATTCTGTACACAGCCTTAAGATGAGTGTCATTTGGACAATGCATAAACTGGCTCACCAAGCTAACTGCAAAAGCAATATCAGGCCGTGTGTGAGAGAGATATATATGAGTTTCCCTACCCGTTTTTTATACCTGGTTGTATCTGTGGGAGTGCTCCCATCATCTAAGGAAAGCTTTTGGTTTGGATCAATAGGAGTCACAGCTGGTTTGCATCCGAGTAAGCCTGTCTCCTTGAGCAAGTCTAGGACATATTTCCTTTGGGAAAGAGCTATCCCTTTCTTTGACCTTGCCACTTCCATTCCTAGAAAATATTTCAGATTTCCAAGGTCTTAGATTTCAAATTGTGTGGCTAAAAGTTGTTTCAGTTTCTCTAGTGCTGCAACATCATCACCTGTCATTACAATATCATCTACATACACTATGAGAATGGCTTTTTTTCCATCTGAGGAGTGTTTGTAAAACAATGAGTGATCAGCTTGTGATTGAGTGTAACCTTCTTGTTTAATTGTCTTTGCAAACCTCTCAAACCATGCTCTTGGAGATTGCTTTAAGCCATACAATAACTTATTTAACCTGCACACTTTTCCCACTGTGTTATAATTATCAAAACCTAGTGGTATTTCCATGAAAACTTCCTCTTTCAATTCCCCCATTAAGGAATGCATTCTTCACATCAAATTGATGTAAAGGCCACTCATGATTTGCTGCTAACGAAAGTAGGACTCTTACTGTGTTTAGTTTTGCCACGGGAGCAAATGTTTCTCATAGTCCATTCCGTATGTTTGTGTAAAGCCCCTAGCAACCAGCCGTGCCTTGAATCTCTCCACTGTTCCATCAGCTTTATATTTGATTGTAAAGATCCATTTACTACTTACAGTATGTTTGCCTGGAGGAAGTTTGGTCAGTGTCCATGTGTTGTTCTTTTTAAGAGCACGCATTTCTTCTAGAACTGCCTCTTTCCAGCTAGGAATAGCTAGAGCTTCATGTATAGACTTAGGAATCTCATCATCAGTAATACTTGTAGTAAAGGTTCTATAGCTAGAGGAAAGATTAGCATAAGATAAATGATGGATGCTTCGGTGTTTTGTGCACTCTCTAGTACCTTTTCTAAGGGCAATGGGGAGATTGGGATCTGGATCAGTGATGGGAACAAAACCAGACTCAAGAATATTAGAATTACCTGGAATTGTAGTCAGATCAGATGTTGATGGTGCTAGCAAAGGTGTTGGTGTCACCCCTTGACGAGGACGCTTGGAGTAAACCCGAAGAATAGACTGGGAAGTTGTTTGGGGACACAGTGTTACCGGAACATGTTCATTTTCAGCAGGAATCACCGGATTAGGTAGGACATATTCAGTAGGGACGACTGGCTGATCTTCAAGTATAATATCTTTCTCCCCCTGAAGATCAGTTTTGGAAAAGAAAGGAGTATTTTCAAAGAAAGTGACATACACACTCACTATAACCCTTATGAGTAGGAGAGAACCCAAGGAAGAGACATTTTTTAGACTTCGGGTCAAGTTTACTTCTCTGTTGAGCATGAGTATGAACAAAAACTGTGCTGCCAAACACTTTGGTGGGTAGAGTAGTAAATGACCTATTGAGTGGGAAACAGGATTGAAGAGTTTGTAATGGTGTTGAGAAACCTAAGACACGACTTGGCATGCGATTTATGAGATATGATGCAGTAAGGACAGCCTCCCCCCAAAATTTCTCAGGGACATTCATAGACATTCTAATAAATGTCTGTTTTTTCGTTCGGCTATGCCGTTTTGCTGAGGGGTATTGACACAAGAGCTATGATGAATTATTCCTTCTTGAGTAAGGAAATCCCCTAGGACAGAGTTAAAGTATTCACGACCATTATCTGTCCTAAGGACTTGAATTTTTGATTGAAATTGAGTGTGAATCATTGAGTGGAATTTTTTGAAGATAGATGCAACTTGAGATTTTTCTTTTAGGAGATAGATCCAAGTTGTTCGAGTGTGATCATCTATAAATGTTATAAACCATCTAGTACCAGTAATATTTTTATCTTGTGTTGGTCCCCAAATATCACTATGCACAAGAGCAAATGGTTTAGATGGAATATACTTTAGAGAAGGAAAAACTGATCTATGATGTTTAGCTAATTGACACACTTCACATTGAAAGGAAGACATGCTTTTATTTTGAAATAATGCTGGAAACATATGTTGCAAATAACTGAAACTGGGATGGCCTAAACGATAGTGCCATAACATTATTTCATCAGAAAAAACAATAGGTCTAACAGAACTAGAGGAATGTGCTTGACTTTTAGGAAGATTGTCTTGGTCAAGGAAGTAGAGTCCATCACGTTCGCTAGCACTGCCAATCATCTTCCCCGAAGATAGCTCCTGAAATATACAACCATTAGTAGCAAACTTAAGAGTACAATTACTATCAGTTGATAGTTTGCTGACAGAGATAAGATTGCAAGAGAGTTTAGGGACATGAAGAACATTAAGAAGAGTGAGTGAGGAAGAGACAACTATAGATCCTTTGCCTGCAATGGATGAGAAGGAACCATCTGCAATTTTTACTTTCTGATGACCAGAACAAGGAGTATATGAAAGAATAGATAAGAGTTGATAGTCATGTGATCAGTTGCTCCTGAATCTATGATCCAAGAGTCTGAATTTTCAATTGTGGTTGTTAGGGCAGATGGAATTATACCGGACTGGGCAAGAGATGAAGATTAATTTGAGGGTTTAGGATCTGGAGAAGATTGCTGATGAGAGTTGAAAAGTTTGTACAATTGCTCTAGCTGCCCCTTGGAGAAATAGGACTGTTCATTTTGTTGAGATGCACTGGCTTCTTCAGAAAACACATGGAGACCTTTACTCTCTTTGATACCTTGTGAAGTATCATCAGGCTTTCCATGTAGTATCCAACATTTTGCTTTGACATGACCAACACGGTGACAATACTCGCAGAAAGGTCGATTACCCCGTTGTGGTGGCCGCGAGGAATTTAGCTTTGGTCTGTGAGTCACCAAGGCTGAGATTTCTGATGCGGAGTTTATTGAGTTATGACCAAGCATTACTGCCCGCCTGCTTTCTTCACGGCGGACCTCTGCAAAGACACCTCTTGTGTTTGGTAACGGATGACGGCCCAACAATCTGCCTCTAACTTAATCTAATTCCTTGTTTAAACCTGCAAGGAAATCAAATACTCGCTCCTTCTCCACCATTTTTTGGAACATAGTATTGTCAGCCGAACAACTCCATTTATAGTCACTATAGAGATCAGATTCCTGCCATAGGTTTTGAAGCTCTGTGTAAAATTGAGTGACAGATCTCTCACCTTGTTTGGCTGTTCTGAGATGATTTTTTAACTCAAATAATTGACTGGCATTACCTACATCAGAATAGGTTTCCTTCACAGCTGTCCAAATGTCATGAGCAGTTAGAAGAAAGAGATAAGTACGGCCAACATCAGGTTCCATGGAGTTGATCAGCCATGACATCACCATTGAATTTTCTGCCTCCCATTTATTATGGAGTTTATCGGAAGTTGATGGTTGGGAGACATCACCGGAGAGATAACTAAATTTACCCTTCCCTTGAATGAAAAGTTTGACAGACTGAGACCATTGAAGAAAGTTTCTGCCATTGAGTTTATGGGAAGTTACCGACAAGCCTTGAATAGGCTCAGAATTGGAGAAGGAAGAGGATCCAATCGAGTGAGAGGAATCACTCGTTGAATTCGACTGTTCGGAGTTGGTCTGAGGATCGACCATTTTTTTCTTTTTAGGTTAGCGGCTCTGATACCATAAAGATTAAAATGATTAGCCGATCTGAATACTTCTTTCATTGAGTGTTATATTTATAATACAATACAACAACCGATCCTACAAAGAAGGGATAAGATTTACAATAATTAATTACAACTTAATCCTAATCTATAGTAACAACGTGTAACTAATTGACCTATTCTATAGTTATTCGACATAACAGTCACATATAAGAATGAGTCCGTACAATCTCCCCAAGTGTAAGAGGTATAAGACTTCCATATATGCCAAATTATAATACCAGGCAAAACATGCTTAAATAAATCCTCCAAATTTTAGAGCCTGCCTCCAACCACCAAGAAAAACAACCCTGTTTGAAAGAATATTCCCACTTAGGGATGGGAATCATAAAGAGTCCCATGAAAAGATGCCAAATCGATCTAATGCAGGGACATTAATAAAAAATATAAGAAACCCTGGAAGAGTCATGAAAACGAAAGGGACACCTTGAAGGAAAAATACAAATCTGAAAGCATGTGAGATTGTCAGGAGGAGGGATTACATCATGAAAGATTTTCCATAAGATGAGTTTTATAGATAATGGCTGTTTAGCATTCCATGTGCGAATGTTAGAAAAACAACGCTGACTTGGTCTGTCTTATCTCACTGTATGCAGAGGTATGGGAGAAGTTTCCATCCTGAGAAGGCACCCAAATAATGTGGCCAGAATCTTCTATGACGATCAAAGAGAGGCATGCATCATGTATATCCAAGGTTCAGAATTGGGTATTGCGTGAGGGTTGGATACCAGAGTTGCTGCTTGGACCAACTGGAGATTTTGAAGATTCCCCCTCTACATCGTGTTTATTAGAATAAGAAATTCCTTTGCCTTTACCCTTGTAAGCAGTAGTCTTCACCCATTGTTATTGAAACATGTTCCCTGTTTGTGCTTTATCCCCGGTTTGTGCTTTATCCCCAGTTTGTGCTTTATCCCCAGTTTGTGCTTTATCCCCTGTTTGTGTAGTATTCTGACACCTACACTGGGATGGCGTTTAGGGAAATTATGTTCCACATGACCTAAATGACTGCTTGAGATGCAGTAAGAGGAACGGTCCTCATATTTTACAGACTGCATAAAACCATTATCCCCTCCCTCAATCCAAACTTTATGAGGCATCTCTTTCATTAAATCAAGCTCAACACAGATTTTGGTCACCGAGGGTCTACGTAGTGTTGTTTTAGCTGAATCCATTTTAAGTGGCTTATAAACTAAACCAGCAATGGCATATAAGGCACGCTTATCCTGTAAGTGAATTGGAAGCCCATCCAGCGAAATCCAAAACGGGAACAATCGGAAATTCAATATTAGGTTGAAAATCTGGAGTCCATTTGGTCACTAGCATAGGAAATCCTTGAATGCTCCATGATTGTCGAGCCCAACACCTCTGATAATCCTCATCCAAATCAAACCTAATTAAGATATGTGAATAAGATTTGTGAATAACCGCCATGTTTGGCCTGTCTCTGAAGAAAGATCCCACCAGTGAATACTTATGTTTCAATTCCAATAGATCAATCTCTTCCGATGAGAAAACTAGAGCAGGTACTCCTTTCAATTGAGTAGGTGTCTTAGCTCATAAAGGCTTATCAGCCTGATTAGAAACCGCCGAAGCGAAAGATTTTTTCATTGTCGACATCATTGCGGGAGAGGAGGATGGTGCTGCCATGCCAGGTGGATCAGTCATCGTAACATCAATCGCCCAATGTATGTGTGTGTACTTAATTATGAAAAAACACTTGTAACGAAAAGGCCAGGTGGATCAGTCATCGTAACATCAATCGCCCAATGTATGTGTGTGTACAGTGTACTTAATTATGAAAAAACACTTTTGACGAAAAGGCCAATGTTGACGTGTTCTGTTTTCACATGTTTTCTATTTTGGGAAACATGTTAACCAACACATATTTTCCAAATTCTTTTTAAAATCTAATTTCAAACTCTAGTTTGTGGTTCTTTATGGTTGTGATGGAGGTCACTGCTAATGGTGCTCCTCGACAGTTGTGGAGGCAATGATACCTCTAGTGATAGCAATGTAAAGAAGTGACTGTATTCTGTTTGATAGTTAGTAAGCAATCAATTGGGGCAGTTCAGCTGTGCTACTCCCTATTATTTGTCTTCTATTTGATGTTTTCAATCTATTTTTAATAAAAAATAAAACATTGTACATATTCCAAACTGGGAGTTTTTCCAGATTTTGGTTGCTAGGTTTCAGTAACACATAGCGCATGCTATATAGTAAAATCGTCTATGACTCTAGAACCAGGAAACAATGCAAGCATCTTGAAGTTGTCAATATGATTTTTCCAGCGAAAAAAAAAACATAGGGTAACTTGTAAGAATAGAATAAGAATAATTCAAAAGATATAGCAGACGAGCATAATTTTTCTCAGACAACGGTATTTGGATAAAAAAATTGAAGATGACGACAACTCACCCAAACCCATGTGCATCGTAGTACGGAACGTTCGACAGCAATGTTTCATCAATATCGAAGACCCACGCATCATTCCCGTCGCCAGAGATCTCCAATTTATTCACGAACACCAGAGAAGCGTTCACCACAGCATCTGAATCCGAGGCGTACCTGAGGCCGGTCATGTAATCCTGCACAAAAGCCTTGCATTTCTCCGGGACAAGGGTCCAGCTGGGAGCGTCATTGGTCTCGACGGTGAACTTCCAACTATCGCAGTACAAATTATCATCTCTTGGAATCTTCCGGTGAAGGAATATCCGATCGATGGAGAGGATGTCCCAGACCGATTGGGCACCTGATGTGGAATGCAACGAGAGGAAGATGATAAGCGTTATGCCGAACTTGTTTCCATTCATACCCATGCCTGACCACATATCACCAACTGGAGTAAAGCGCGAGTCTTCCAGACCTATCATACCCACGGCTGACCACATATCACCAATTTCTGGCACAGAAATCAGAGTTAGTGTTCGCGTGGAAGTGCAGAAGTAATGCTCTAATTTATCTTTTGAAAAGTGATTTGGTTTACTTTAAAAAAGAAACCACATATTTAAAAAAGGGGAGTAGAATCAGTTTCAAAAACCTCTCAATCTTTAAGCTTTACTTTTTGAACGTTTCATTGAGGGTTTCATTTACTTTTTTATATTTCCTTTTTTGATAACTCCTTTTACATTAAATTGTCTTAACTGCCGTTTATAAAACATCTTACCCAGCAACAATTTATTACCCCTCAAAAAAGATTACCCGATATCTATTGCCCCTCAAAAAAGATTACATGATACTCCTTTCGTCCCACTTAAAGGTTCTCGTCCACTATTCTCCGGTCAACATGCAATGTTCTTAATCTTTTACTTTGTATATTCAACTTTTATCAAATTTAAATTTTCTTGATCAGGCTTTGTAGCGGTTTTAATGTAGTTTCTGAATATGTAAATTTTATTTACTAAAAAAATTCTACTAATGACAGAGATTAGTTAACTTTATGGTCAGTCAAACGTCGTAAACCGTGTGGGAACGTTTAAATGGGACGGAGGGAGTATTTATTACCTCTTCTATTTTTAATTCATCAAGGTTGTTCATGAGAGATGTATCCTGAATCCCTGCAGCCTCAAAGAAGAGATGGTTGACGGCTCTGAAGTGGCATGACCAGAGAAGAAATGAAGAATCGGCGACCAAATTGCAGACCAAATCAGAGATTCCCCATCAGCGACTAGATCGATCATTGATGAATTCATCTGGGAGAGACCCCTGGTAGCTAGATAGGTAAGTCTAAGTTCGAAAACTGGAATTCAAAAACTGATGTTCGAAAATCTGTCCTTAGAAAAAATTCCTACAAATCTGTGGTTCAAAAACCAGTACTTCAAGAAAATCTAGTGCGAAAATTGTTCTTCAAAAAACCTACTGAAGTTCGAAAAACGTCTTGTATTCGAAAAACAGAGAAATCTGCAAATCTGTCAAAATGAAGATGCAAATATGTTTCCTCAAAAATGAGGAGGAGGGGTAGGAGGAGGAGCCCTATGTTCTTTTACTGCATGGAGGAATTGATGTTTTAGCCCTCTGGAAGTATCCAAGGGGCGGGGGTTGCCGCCGCCACGCATAGCCAAATCGAAATAAATAGCGTAACTCCAATTATTTAATAAATCCTGAAGGTCATAAATTTTTCGATCTTAACTGTAATATATTTATGTACTTGTAGAGGAAGTATGATGAAGAGGTGCATAAGAAATGGTCCGAGCTAAGTGACTCGTATGTCAAAATTGATGAGATTCAAGATGATGAGGCCTATTTGGCGACCGCTTGGGTTTATAAAGGTCGGGTTCCGTGCATGGGTGCTAACGCTTTACGGATTCTGAAAAACTCTAAAGGAGCTAGTTCATCGTCTCAATCGATGGTTGATGAAGCACGTATTGCCCGCATTGAGAGAGAATTGCAGGAACTCCGAGAACAACGTGAAAGGACCGGAGAGAAAGAAAAAAGGTGGCAGAGATGAGGGCTCAAATGGATGAATTCTTCACCACATGGCGGCCCCTTAACCCTTACCCCTACCCTCCACTCCACATACCCTTTTTCCCTACAATGACCCTACACCACCCCTTACCACATGCCCCTACCTCGGTCCCACCCTGATCCACCCTACCCTACCCCACCTCGTAATTACCTTTTACCCCTACCTTACCCCTTCCCACATGCCCCCTACCTCGGCCCCACCCTACCGCCATCCTACCCCACCCTCGTACCGCCATCCTACCCCCACCCTGCTTCCATCCTACCCCCACCCTACCCCTTCCCTTACCTCGACCCCACCCTACCGCCATCCTATCCCAACTCCCTACCCTACCCCTACCTTACCCTAACCCCAACCATACTCACTACCCCCACCCTTACCCCTAGCCACCACCCTAACCCACCCACTACCCCACCCCCACCCCCCAACACCCCGTACCCCTAGACCTTACCACTCCACCCCCGACCATACCCTTACCCCACCCCCACCACCACCACCCCCCCCCCTATACCTTCCTTCCCTACCCCGACCCCTATAAGTAGGTATGGGTGGGTATGAATGGTTTTAGGGGAGTATGGGTAGAGTGTGAGCTCGTGGTTGTTGGAAGTATGCTCTAGGACAATCATACTTTATGATTTATCAATGAATATTTAATGCTCATTAATTAATAAAGTCACAAACTCATTTTATGTTAATTATTATTGTGAGTTTTCTTTATTAATATTTAGTCCCTGAATATTATGTTTAGTAGCTAATTAAGTACGTGACTTAATTTTGGAATGCTACACTTTAAAATAAGCATAATATTCTAATTGTCCATGGTCTAATATTATTAATCTGGGACATTAATAATTAATAGACCATTATGTGGATTAACTGATGGCTATATTCCACTAGTCATGGGTATAGAGATATCAAGTTAATAACATAGATGCTTGTTAGTGAACAAGTTCATTGGACAGACCCTACTTGAGGACACTGCTAGGTTATATGTCATCAGTGTTGTCCTCAATAATGATGAGGTGCTATATTCTTATACTTGAGATAGTCATTGTTACTTGCATGCGAATTAATATGTATTAACACCATTAAATATTATTTTTAAATGGGTAATTATAAAGGTGGTGATTGTACATATTATGAACCATGTAGTGGTATGTGAATTATCAAGATAGTTTTTGTCACTCTCGTATAGCGAGAGAAAGATATCTATTGGGCCCCTTGACAAGTAAGATTAATTAGCATGGCCATGCTCAAATGAGGTGTCATTTGTTCAAAATTAATCTTACTTGGTAATCAAGAAATATTAATTGAGAATAACAAGGATGACATGACCTAACCTTGTCTCAATTAAGACATCGTTTGACAAAAGAGAATTATTAGCACAAATTAATCATTAAAATGTTATGTCAGATTTAATTGACATTTATATATTTTGGATAGTCATAATGCCTTGCTAGAGGCCGCTTATGATTTGTGAGGCTTGAATTAATTTTTTAGCCCACTGTCAATAATATATAAACCTACAGGGTCACACACCTAAGTGATTTGGATCATTAATGTTCGTTAATAACATTAAAATAGCCTGATTAGTCCAATTCGAAATAGGGTTTCGAATGGTATTGGGATACGGCCTCTTGGAGGGTTTTATTAGCTATAAAACTCCTTCTTTCCTCCTCTTATAAATAGGGCTATATAGACCCACGAATTTTAAGAGTTAAAATTCACTTCTAAAACCTAGAGTAGAGAGGAAGAAAGAAGAGAACGCTAGCACGTTCCCTGCGGCCGATCCAATCACGTGCGTGTGGATACTGGTAGAGCTCGGGATCGTTTTTTCGGACTGTCTGACATCCTTGATTAAGATTGCTATGTAAGTCCCTCTTATATCTTGTAATTTCGTTTATAGTAAGAACCTCAGATCCGGTTGTTTACTTTTGGGCAGTATTTTTTTTGTTTATTCCGTTGCGTTTTTCTGCCCGAAACCCGACAGTGGTAAGGGTAGGGGTAGGGATCAAGGGTGTGGAATTGGGTGTAGGGTGTAGGGTGGGGGTACGAGGTATAGGGGCAGGGTATGAGTTAGGAGTATGGGTACACGTACGAGGTGATCGACCCCACATATTATATTATATATTTGTGTTCATGAATGTTTGTGTGTCTATATATGTATAAGGTTATTTTGGACATTTTAATGTTAAACGGTGTTTTAAACATTTTGAAGTAAACATGATCTTATACCATTGTTTATTTTATGTGTCGTTTATTAACGTGAGTCTTAATAAGAATCATTTAGTAACCTGTGAAGTAAACGTGTCAGTCTTCTGGATGATCACAGAACTGGGTGAAAAAATGATAAAAATGTTTTCAGATTTGAAAATGGAAAACTAGAAAATAGAAACATTAAACTGGAGATAAAAAAACTAAAAAATAAAAACAGAAAATTGGAGAACGAAAAACAGAAGTAGAAAACAAGAAAATATCTCTGTTAGTAAACAGGCCCTTATTTTTTTGGAAAAAGGCGACTTAAATTGATATCACAACAATCAGATAGGGAATAAGAAGATAAAATGACCACTTACAACCACCGAGCCTCGGACCAGACTTAGAGTCAATCACCTGTCAATCACTTGTTGGTCATGTAATGGATCTAAATGAGCCTAACACGGTTAAAATAGACCACTCTTCGCCCAATCCTAATGCAAAAGTCTAACATAAGGGAAAATAAAAGACATCAACAAAAATAGTCTGACCAAAGCAAATAATAAAAAGGCAAAAAAAATATTGGAACTTCAGCTGCACCCTCAATTTCAAGAGGATCTTCCTCTGTCTTATTCTGACATGAAGCGCCTTCAGGGCTCTTGGTGGGTCTGATGACCAAGACCCATCCCGTCTCTATTTTTTGGATCATCCAGTGTCATGTTGTCCCCTCCAATATCCTCATGTTCCTTCTCCTCCCTCACCCTCTTGCGCTTCTGCTCTCCTGGGATCGCCTCCGTAGTTGTTGCTTCGACCTCCTCAAATCTAACCTTGCTGGAATCCGCCATGGTGAGAATCCAGTTCT